TTGTCAGGATGACGATCATCATACTTTCGAAAAAATAATTAAAAAAACGGAAATTCTGAATTTTTTTTAAGTAAACGAAAATTCGAATTAAGCAGAGAAATTTCGATTCAATTATTTTTATATCATTACTTTTTTTCTTTCCTCTCCTCTCCTCTCTCTCCCTCTCTCTCGCTCTATATATGGTGCCACCTATGTTACAGTTTTCTTTTAAGTAAAAGCTGGATTTGAAATAATTCGTCCACAGAAGAAATTCCGAAGAACATCAGTATCAATTTAATGTTCAGGCTATTCTGCATAAACTTGTCTGATTAGTTCAAGTATTTAAAGGTTGACAACAACATATTTATAAATAAACTAAATATATCAAGGTAATTATACATAAGCAATTAGTATTGTATCATCCCTACGTGATTAACCTTCAGACAAATGAATTATTCTGATCTTTCTAGTCATTCTGTATGTGGCGTTGAGCATACGTGTATAGCAGTACATATATATTTATATGCATACTTGTATCTTTCATTTCCTTAAGTATTGAATTACATAACTAAAATAAATAAGCGTTTTTTCGTCACTCTGTAGTGACCTAATTTTACGAAGAGAACGCGATCGATTTAATGGAAACAATTATTATTATAACCAATTGTACCACTGACTGTTTTACTGTGCTCGTTTATTTAACTGTGCTAAAGACAGCCATATTACTGCTTTATTATCTTTCGATTTTGACCTTGCACGAATTCGGTTACGCTCAGTAACCACACTTGTACTCCTTTGGCACGATCTCGGTATCCTTTCGATACCACGAGATCGCCAACAAATACATCTCGACTACAGCTATCAACTGCCTTCTGATATTTGGCTTACGGGGGATTTTATCGGTTAACTGGTACGTAGTCTTCATGTAGTGGTGTTCATAGTCAATCGCGACTCGACTCCACGCTAAAACTCTAGTTCATGTGATATTTTCCTTCGTCTCTTATCGTTAGCCAGTATTATCGAATTTCGAAAACATATGTTCCGCAAGTACTTTCTAATTAGACTTTCTATGTATATGATGTTATTGACAGGATTTTTTTGACAGAAAATATACGAAAACAATTGGGATCTATATTTCATTGATATCAATATCCGCCGATAGTTATTAGAGTCAGACAATGGGCCTAAAATACACGAAATTAAATCTAAGCTTATATTCTCCATTTACCAATTGTTTTCAATCTAGTCATTTGACTTGTAGCGGTAAATAAATCCCCAAAATAAATAGCTCTGTAAGTTTTCGACATTGGATGCTGACCACATGTTTTAATGGACTCATCTAGCTGAAGGCGCTCGGTCATGCATCCGCACCAGATCACGAGTGGGAACGCCGTGTTAAACTACTACTTCAATCGCTAGCCAGATTAGATCAGATAATTCCGATATATTGGCAATCGTCAAATATATCTTCCAATCTCCTCGATTCTGTCTTTTGATTTCTCTTGGTGGGTACGAGTTATATTAGAAGGTGTTACTGGTTAAAGCGTTGTCAAACACTGAATACTTGTGAAATCTCCAGACTTTTACTATTGCTTATGATATGACTAATCTTTTTTTTTTTTAAAAACAACCTCACAATTAAAAAAAAAAGCATTTACACAGTGTTCACAGGCTGAACAGTAGTTTAAACATAAGATTGAACAATTTTTTTAGATTATGAACTCATCATGTGATTTATCAATATGACATTGTCATTTGATGTTTTTCAATCAAATATGAAATGACCTTAAAATATAACCGAGCTATATCTACTCTAATAACTATCACATGATTGGTGAAAAATTGATTCATTTCCCATAAATCTTCACTTTGTGTATGACTAACTTAGTAGTTGTGTTTGTCTTTCTCTCATATCATATGTAATCTTGGTGTTAAGATTCTAGATTTTTATTTTTGTGCAAGTTATTATTCGTAGGATGAGTTAAACACCGTGTCAACCTTCTACAATTTTAGCCTTTACTCACTACTTTATACAGTTTGTGTGTATTTGATTACGACTCGTGATTTCAGGGAATGACCAATTGTAAATCTGATCCGAGTTATTAGTCTACATAGGTTACACACATTGTAAGTGTAGTAGTTTCCTGATTATAGTATGCTTAAATATCCTAACAATGATCGCAGTATTTATGTACACTACAACTATTTCATTTTACTGTCATGTAATTTTAAAGCTTCATTTCTATTTGGAACTCAAACACTTCTGATCAAGATATAGTATGTATGTGTATTTTAGAGCAAATACTTCCAATTGGATATTAACACTTTTACATAAAAACCCGACTACAATGTTGTTTGTGCGTTACGGGCGTTGACAACTGGATCCAATGTTATAGGCTTTAATCTAGTTCATACACTCATCATTTTACTATCAATATACATTTTAGGGTTTGGATATTCACTGTTATGTACTTGTACAAACTGTCAAGAGAAAAATGTGCTGTTCAACATACTAAAAAAATCATGACATTTGGCAGTAAATAGATTATAATCATGAAACTTAATTAAAATCAAACAAAATCACTACACCACTATAGAAATAAAGAACTAAGAACAGGATCACAATTTATGAAAGGACCAATCAGATTAAAGTGGCGGGTTTTGTATTTTGATGTGAAGTTCATCCATTCCTATGGCTAAATAAGAGATGGGATACGTGTCTGTGATCTTATTACATATCCATTTTCCAATGTTCAGTATGTATAAGGCATTAAGTGTTTTCAAACGATTATCTGCTAGTTTAGTGCATAAGTGCTACCTGCCACAACATCATTTTCATCGAAGATTTCGTTTCTAGCTCTAACTTTCACTCTAAATATCATTTTGCCACCATAGTTGATTTCCGTTCGTGATGAAAACCATAACTCTAACTCAGTCCTAATTCCTCACACTAATTTATGACCTTACTTTGAATCTAGAAAGTGGTTGAGGTTTCCCAAGGCCACTTTCATATCGCTCAATTGTCGCCCATATTTTATAATCTCGCCGAACTTCGAATTCTGAAATTAAAAAAAAACTGTACATTGTGTTTATGTGTTGGCTATGAAACAATTAGTAGCAAATTGTTCCAAAACTATACCGTTTTTCTTAAATTTGCTACATTAGTATTCATTCCTGTGCACCAACTGTATTAATAATACAGAACTCAGATCGTATATCTTAAACATTTTGTTGAACTCTGAACAGTCATCAAGTGATTAAACTATCAGTATAGAGTTGTCGAAATTACTGAGTTCCAGTGAAATAATGAACTGTTCAATGTTAGACTACTATTGAGGACCTAGGGACACTGAAAAGCCTTTTCGTCCTATTATGGGACTCCTCAGCAGTGCGCACACGCGATCCTGCGCCCGGGAATCGAATACAGGAACTTCGATCTCTCGCAAGATGCACGTATTCCGTTGGAAGCCGGCCCAGCGGTCTAGAGGGTAATCGATTGAGGATGAGGCAAATAGTCAATATACATACATACTTTGGAAAGCTTGAAATGACTTTAACAGTATGAAGATACAGCAACTAGAGTTAGTTGAATCCAGGATTGCTAACTATTAATTTCTAAGACTGTTCAATCCACACACTCGCTAATGCCCAACTCAGAATGGGTTATACCGCCACTTCGCCGTATAGCTAACCAAACTTCAAGATATCAAGGGCATTTAATCTTGATGTCGACTGATTGCAAACCACCGACAACATAACAGGCTGGAAATACATATAAACCCAGTTAGGGATAGTTACAACTCAATACGTGGTAAGTTGACATCCCTCACGAGTCTTTACGCCATACCGAGGATACGAAGGCAGGCTAACCGGTTGACGGGACAACCAATGGCAAATTGTCCTTGATTCTGCGATGTCCGAGTGTCGCCTGTCGGGTATAAACCACAGCCGCCGAACCTGATGACTGGAAACCACTCTCCTTTTGCCATGGATACTGCCAACCCTTAAATTTATCATGGTCCTCCCCCGCTGCACTATACAGCGGTAATCTAATAGTCTCTGCCTCAAATGGACAGGGACGACCCGAACTAAAAACGTCTTTATGGAGTCTCTTTCAAGCACCGGGTGGCTAAACCAGGATTGACACCCTCTACAGGCTCAAAACAACCATCGGTAAATGTGAGGTTTTAATGCAGACAACTATACTAAGATCGTCCACCGACCCAATAAGTGAATCATCTCTACCCTACACAAGATGAAGCTCTCACAATAATCCAAGAAACCGTAAACAAGATTTTGAGCTGTACTCACTTTGTCGGAAATATTAGTTTCGACCCAATATATTATAATCTCACATAACACAGCAGTATTACGTCAGTGAACAGACATTAGTTGCCATGGCGACAGCCTACAACCTGAGGCGCCTCAATTAAGACCAAGAACCGAGCGGCCATTGATGTGAACTACAACCACTGACCATACGAGAAAGTTCAGTTACTACGCCCACCTATGCATTATTACGACCAGCTTGTGAACATCACTCACAAGGCTTACCAACTAATCGAAATTCAATCTACTTCACCAACGCTAATAAACATTAGGGATGATAAGTCCACTCCCGCAATCATTTGCATTAATCATACGTACTAGTTACCAAGTGTGTGGTTGTCACTTTACATTTCATGTAATTAGTACTTTAACAAAAAAAAAACGATATATATACGGTTGTACAGCCTGATGAATCCAGTTAAAAGATCCCTTCGCTAAACTTCGTGTTTTTAATAACTAGGTAGACTAGGACAGATTACCAAGAAAACAAGACAGGCACCTTCGAGTATTATGACTGACACCTTACCCTATCAAGTTAAGGCAATTCAACGGTCAATCGCAATATAGTCGGAAAACATCGTTTCGTCCGTATATGCTATGTTCAGTAACAGCTCCAAAAATGACCATTTTGCGAACAATCAACGAGGGAACTAGAGAACCACCCACAACGACAAATGATAAGAGAACACGAGTGGATGTAACTTAGTTTATTAGGACATAATAAGCATAAATCCATATTAAGATGTATAAAAATAAAGTAAAAAATCTAAGTAATAAAGTAACATAATGACAATCATACGTAAACAATAATAAAACAGTGGATGTTTAAAAGGGTCAGTACAGAACTAAAGTTGCCTAGGGTACGGGCAGTATCTGATTGTATGGGCATGATCACCGGTCGCATGGCAGTTGGGACATGAGAGTACACGTAACACCGGACACGTCACCCGACCATCTTGATCCCTAACCTGAAAATAACCAATATTGACCACAAATAGTAAACGGTACAATAGTAATGAAAACATTTCTAATGAACAGGTACACGTAGGAAACAGTATCACTTACTTCATGAGTTATGTATATTTCGGGTAACTCGCCATTGTTCCGGCAAAATGCGCATAAAACATAATCTTCCTCCAACTTTCTGCGAACTGACAGGAATATTTGTTTAAGAGAAGCAGGCATTTCTAACAGGCAAAAAGAGTTGAACCTGCGGACAATGAAGCTTTGTCAAATCACATCCTTACCAAGAGTGAAGTTTTAACGTCTCACGATCCCACTTCTTATTTCTATGGGAAGAGCGGGACATTACTCGACGATATCCAGATGCTTTTGATTTACTAGAAAGTATAACAAGAGCTGCCCCAATTGCATCGCGCAGCGGGAAGTCATTCCAGGCACCTAAGTTAGGAAAGAGTAAATAGGGTTCGTCTCAGTTCGATAAAGAAAATATGTCTTAAAGTTAGAGGCGTGATGCCTCTTCCAAATTAGACCCACCTCCATCGATAACCGGATTTGCGGGATACTTCTCACATAGAAGAGGGCAATCAACTTTTCTAACCGAAATCGACTGGTTGGTTTTGTTAGTCTTGTTCACATCACCGCAAGCGGCAGGACTATCTACAAAAATAGGATATCCTATAGTAGCAATTCCAAATAACTAGGAATACAGTATTAAAGTAAAATACTTACGATTGAAAATGCCATCTGATCTCGGTAACTGGATTCTAGATTGAGTACTGTGTCCACGTCCACATAGTTTCTCAAAAGTCTCCGTGCAGTTTGATGAACCACCATATGTACTTAATCTAGCAGTATCAAAATCGCGATCTGAAAACAGATGTTATGGTTAGTACTAAGACTACTAAGTAAGCATTTTCGAATGGAAATAGTAGAGGAAGTTAGGAACTTACGTGTTGATTTAGTTGTCTTCGGGTACACGGCATGAGAATCTGGACTACGAACAACAGCCGTAATGTTATCTCCAATATGATATCCACTACCAGAAAGACGATCTGGAGACTCCGGGCTTATTGATAGCTTGTTCAATCCATCCAAGAGTGGGTCACAAAGGGATGGAATGTAACCGGCTACAACAAATTAGTGTTATTGGTTTCGAATCACAGAAGTAACGAATGAATAGAAATCATGGCAACAAGACTCACCACAACCAACATACGTAACATCTGCATCTAAGACTTCAGACTTCTGCGTAGACCACAGGTCATAGCAAGGTGTCCTGCGGAAATCCAGCATCACTATAGATATGCAAAAATGCATATCGTAATATATGGTTATACTAACCAATAAGATGGAAGCATACTGAAATATTTTCAAGGGAAAAAGCATACATTTAAGCCAATTAAAAATAAAAATAAATCCTGAAGTATTTAGCCAATAAGGATTAACGATTAGGGCTGGAATCCTAATACCGAACAATTTTAGTTTGTGGTTGCATGTTGATTGGTCATTTTGGTTATTTATCGGATCTGATGCCTTGACAACAAACTAGCTGGTTGATGGATTTTTAAAATGACTCAGTTTTACACCACTAAATTGTGATCTGACGCTGTATGATCCATTTTCTTAACAAAGTAATATGTATGGTGGATTCACCTGATAATATAAAAATACCAACTCAAGTATCACATGGAACCAGTTAATTTGATTTTAAGGGCGTAAATTTAAGGTCTACCGAATGAAGTGCATATGATATAAAATCTGATACCTTTGATTGTTCTAATTTTATTTGCATAATGGTGACTAGTAGTTGTCTGTTTCTCACTAAATGCCAGCACCTGCATTTGTTAATGTTTTTGGTAGGAATTGGACCCAAAACTTTGTCTCATAAATTATGATGTAGTTAAGCTAGTATGTTTACGCATAATGAGTTGAAAATAAATTCACCAGTTTAGTCTTAATTGTCAAATGGGAAATCCGACTAAAATTCTATGTAATCGTTCCATTTTCTTTCCATTGACACCAAACTGACGTGCTTACAAAAAACAGAGCAGTCTTCTAGTGTAGAATATCTTACTATGACGAAATTATAAATATATGATATGTAATAAAAGTTATTGACAATTTAAGTAACTCGTAATTCGGAAACTGGCCTCGTAAGGTCACTCGGTGTCAATCATACTTCGGGACCTAAATATCCTTCAACCTCATTAAATAAAATCTTACAATCCTGTTATGCTCAGCATTTCAGAAGTTTATGTCTAGCTTGGAAATATACTATGCCCTAAAAGGATGATTGTACGGGGGCAATAAAAAAATAATAAAAAGTGAACTAATGAATCGGTAAATACATAGGACGCATTCACAGTGAATAATTAGACCAATCGGTTACAATAAACACTGAAATAGTCTAATAATCGAAACTTAGAATTCACAGAGTACAGTTCCAAATTCATAAAAATTTCGAGATTGTGGAGATTTGTAGCTCAGGTGAGTGATTTTGATGGAATTTTGTTTTCTGAGCTGGATGGTTTAGTTGTAGAGCTTCTTCTACCTGAAGTTTGTGCTGACGATATCGTCCAGAAGAATAATTCGAGCTCCATGACTAAACCATCCAGCTCAGTGAACAAAACTCCATCAAAAACATAAAAATTTCACTCTTTGGTTCTCTGATACATCTCTGTTCGATCATATGGATTTTCAATTCAAAAAATACAAATAATCAGACTTTTTGTAAACTGCACGTATAAAATACAGAACACAATTCTTCAAATAATAAAGTTATCAATTAATGAAATTATTATTTACTGACACAATCGTCAAAATTGTAAATACTATTTCATTTATGGGATGAATGTGTAGTGACCTACATTTATCAAGAGAATGAGATTGATGTAATGGAAACAATTATTATTATAACCAATGGTACCAGGGATTGTTTTACCGTACTTGTTTGTTTAACTGTACCAAAATACATACTTTCTTCCGTTGATTGTGACCTTGCACGAATTCGGTTACGCTCAGTAACTACACTTGTAACCTAACACGATCTCGATATCCTTTCGATACCACGAGATAGCCAGCAAAAACATATCGACGCCGCCCAACAAATGAAAAATTCCCACGATTTCTCGTTATTACTTCATCGTAATCAATATTCAATGTTACTCATCGTTATATCTAATATTGACTCGATCATCTTGTGTTTATGAATTAAAATCTAAATTTTGTGTTGTTAAAGTAAAGACTTGAAAATATTAGTTTATAAATTTCAAATGTTTTAATTGCAAATTTTATTTTATTTTTTACTTTAAATGATCAAATTCATCAGTAATAGATGTTACATTTCAATTTATATTCTGATATTATTCTTCTTAATGCATACTTCTTACTGATTTTGTAAGTAGTACGTTTTTCCCCATTCTTAAATTTAAGATAAGCCAATTGGAATATTACCGATTGTACGACATTAAATATTGATATTCAATTTCAGAATAATGATGTAACAATCTTACAATACATCAAGCGGAACGAATAACATTGAATATCTAATTCAGTATGATACAGAGACAATATTTAAATATATTTAATTAGTAGATTGATTAACCTAATTATTAACGATTGCATAAAATCCACTAGTTGAAACCATGAGTCAATTGAAGCTAGACCACCATGGGAAACCTAGAAGCACTGGACGACCGCTTTGTCCTGGTATGGGACCCCTCAGCAGTCCGCATCCACGATCCCGCACCCCACGGGATTCGAACCCAGAACCTACTGGTTCCGCGCGCGAGCACTTAACCACTAGACCACTGAGCCAGCATCTAATGGTGGTAATGTCTAACTTCAACCAATCCACAAAGTTGCGCCACCGTACACCATTGTCTTCAGTGAGTCCCTATCTCACAACAGACCTGGCTGAACTCCACTAGTAACGACTTCTCACTAGAACTCCAGGAGTGTCTCCTGAAGTCAGTCACTAGTGAACAGGTGATTATTATTATCAGAATGGGTTTTGTGGAGATTTTTTAGAAATTTCACTGGTTGAAATCATGAGTCAACATTTAAAATAATCAATGTGCTCATTTCATACTACTAATTATCCTAAATCAGTAGATAGGAATGCTTCATATTTGTGTGTTAAAAATAATGCTTTAGCATTTTAATCCAGAATTAGCTTTCATACATTATTAATAGAATTTAAATACTTTTTTTAATTTAACAATTGCTAGTTAGGATGGGAATGTACTTTACTCAACAATAAAGTATTATTTTCAAACTATTGTATTAATTAATTGTAGAGTATCATCTTCTGTTCTGTTTAAAGTTATGTTTTTTATTTTATTTTAATACAATGTCATTGTGTGCTCAACTGATCTTAAACAACTCCATTGATATATATATATATATATATATATATATATATATATATATATATATGTTTCTATCAGTTGTAGTATATATATATGCTTATTGTTCTGAAATTTATATTGATAATAATAAACATAATAACTTGTTGAAAATCTTGTTTCTACAGGATAGTTCAATGTTTAATTTTTTCTCGATCCTGTTCACTCTTGTTTGAGATTCTATTGTGTTCACCAGTTATGATTAAAATGTTAATAGTCATTGTTTAATTAGTTTACATTTATCCGTGTGTATACTTACTACATACGCAAATAATGGTGAATGAAATGGAACGATAAATGTGTTGTTTTATTATTGTTATTTCCTTATTGTATTGATTCCTTAACAACGTTGAGTTTTTGTTTAGATTTTGTGAAGAAATCCGAAGGGAAAAGGTTATCTTTTTACTCATTTGTCTACATGTGTGTGACAAGCACAGAAGAGTAGAGAACATAATATGGTTCAAAAGACGTCAACAGTGTCCTGGATTTTGATATTATTAACATATCTAACTAGATTCAAACCAAGTTGTAACTGATTAATGTTTGTGTATATCTGTATTTTATACCACATGAAATCAAACAATTTAATTTGTTTCATTTCTCAAACCATTAAAAATTAATTAATCACAAAGCATTGGTGAATGATTCAGTATAAATATGTATGCGTTTGTTTCTGTTTGAAGTTTTTTTAAAGAGCAAAATATGACAAAACTAGTTAAAACATGTACCGCATTTACTATACATTTTAAAATATTTCTTGATTCTCCCAAATCCAAATATCAACATCACATAACAACACATTTAAAAGCTACGAGAGAAAAACTGACGATAGCTACAATTCCAACGATCACTTTTTTAGACATATATTGGGATACCTGAGGTTAATAATTTGTCTTTATGGATGATATCAATCAATACAAATATCTTATAAATATGATTAGATCACAGACACACACAATTCAATGTAGTACAAATGGAATTACTTGGTAGCATACAGCTGAAAAACAGCGCACAATATGCAAATTAAACTTGTAGTGGTTTCATAATTAAACCATGATATAAACAAATACTGACATTGTAGGTAGCAATTCCAAGGTTGAACATGATAGATTTTCAGCCATCATTTACTAAATATAAGCTAGCGAATTCAGTCAGCTAAGTAAATTATTGATAATCGAAGATGCATACCTAAGCAACTTTGTATGAGATAATTGAACGAGTAGTTTAAATAAATTCCATGGTATTTTAGTAACCTAGTTTACATGTGCATATTGACAGACACAAAACTCTAATCTGATTAGATTGGGTTCATTGAAAAATATCTGAATTCTAGTTCATTAACCAATTGTGCCAGATACAAACGCGATTGAATGTAATTTTAGATATCATACATGTTGTCAAGTCAATGAAATACACTTATTATGATTCTGTACTCAAACATTAAATGACCGAAACGGATGACCATAATAGCTGATCGTTGCACACTTATGGAGTATTGCGAATTCGGCAAGTAACTACTTGAGAAGTGTCTAGAATTTTGTTCACGTGAACGCTGATTATATTTCAGTGATTTAGTAGTGTGAGCTACGCAAAAAATGATCTTTTTATATCGTTTACGATACGACTTTTATTGTATCACTGTATGACTATTAGGTTAAAATGGTGCTATGTAACCTTTTCCAAATTTTATTCACTATTACATCTCTTCTTTTCTAGACTACAACAAATATATTCCAATACAACAATGAGGAGGTTGAGTTCTATCAAAATTTATAAAAGGGACCAATTGCTATAAATATATTTCAGGGAACAGTAAATTAATCGTTAAGTCCATCATATGTGTTATTACTAAATCAGAACTCATTTTTATAAATTTATTTTTAATATAAACATTAAAGACTCAAATAACAAATTTAGATTCTTGTACTTC